GCTACACAATGCATGTTTGTACAGTTTCGAATACATGTACATGTACTTTTCTAACGCGAGATTTCGCTTAGATGGCAAATTTTTCCTAAAGGAAAAATGATAATAAGAGGAATTTTGTGTTGTTATACAATGCATGTTTGTACAGTTTCAAATACTTTTCTAACGCGAGATTTCGCTTAGACAGCAAGTTTTCTAACGACAGATTTTCTGACAATGAAAAATTTCTTCTTTTAGACAGAAAACTTTTCTAACAACAGATTTTGTTAAAAATTTCATATTGTTGTTCACCAATGAAAAGTTTATCATAGAAGTGAATAATTACGTTCCTTGTAAAAGTATAAATACGACAAAAAAGTTGCTTGCTTCCCTATCAACATTACTTTTCTTCACTATCAAAAAAAATATAATTTTCTTCACTATCAAAAAAAATATAAAATGGCTTTTGATAATTTTTTTTTATTTCTCATTCGAGACTTACACCACGAGTACGGTGTATATTGTCAATTTATTGTTCCCAATAAAAATCTACACTTTCAAATATTAAATGAGCTCAAATAAGCGAATGAACAAACACGGGCGCTCTCAAGAGGAGCAAGAAGTAGTTTCAGGCAATAAGCAACAAAAAACAAATACCAGCGGTAGTAAATATTGTAATTATAATTTATATCAATAATACACTCTATTTTATTATGATTTTCAATATGTTCATTAAAAAAACGCTTTATTATTTTTAAATTTAGCTCAGCGTTATCGAGAAAAAAAGAAACAAGAATTCGTTGATTTGCAGGAAAATATCCTGAAATATATTATGGAAAATACTTTTTTGCATAATAAAATAATTCAATTGGAAAAAGAACTAGATACCCTTAATTTGAGATTAAACGATCGAGATAAAATTATTGAATATTTCAAGTTTCAAAATATTATTTATAATCAACTGGATTATTTTTCATCCCCTTCTATTTCTCCACAGAATCAAGCCATTAGCAATGATAGCCACCTCTTCAACATCAACGGGTTCAATGACAACAACAATAACTATCACGTAAATAACATTTTTAATAACGATAACGATAACATTAACCACCACAACAATATCATTGATAATCACTACTAGGTCCAGCCCAGTGCAATCTAAACAGACTGGTCTTTTTGTCTCTTTTTGGACCGATTCATAAGATGTCACAGACTGGAGTTTTAGATAGTTTAATACATGTAATAACGATAATAAATTATTGCTGTCGATAATAAATTAATTTACCTTTGAACTGTATATCTTAAAAAGAATTTTACATTTACACAATAGAACATGAATTAATGCTCAAAACCTAATGAAAATTTGCAAATATGTAGAATAGAACATTGTGAACATTTTTAATTATTAGCATTTATCGTAAACAAATCGACTTTTCATAGTAATAGTACATGTATCATAAGATCTACAATTCAAAATTGGCGTTATGGCGGTATTGGATATCCCTGTATTTTGATCAATCTTTTATTCGTCACACCAACACGTCCTGTTGCCAACAACTACGTATAGCGATAGGGAACAGAGTACGTAATTTAGCACTTGAAGACAATCATCTGTTACCGTTACTCTTACCTCTGAAAATGATGATGACGGACAATCTATTGTGATGAAAATAATCAAATTTGGAATGTATAATAAAGCCGGTGTTACACAATCGAGTATGGTTGCAAAAGCGTTATCGTTATTTGGTATCGGTAAGGGTTAAGCTATTGACTTAGGATATAGAGTGTAACGTGTACATGTATAAAATCTGTATCATACATGTGATTTTCCGACCATACCTTACTTCTTTGCTCGATCATACAATATTGATTAACGTAGGACTCTATTTTTATTACATGTTGTAACCTGATGTCTAATAAACATTCCTATCCAATTGGCACTTGTTATGTCAAAATGTCTAAAATCTTTTTGAAAGTTCTTGTCACAAACCAAATGGAAAAACTATGCGAGTTGATTCAAGAAACGTTATTTATACCAAACAAGTTGACAACTGATCAAGAAGATTTTTTATCGTTATTAGAATTGTGATCGCACTATATCAAAAATAGCAATACTGTAATAACAATAGCGATAATAAATTAATTAATGTTAAACCCAATTTAAATAAAATTATATATTGTAAACTTAGAAACAAAATGGCAGTAGAATTTATTCAGTAATATTACAAAATAGGTATCGTAGACAAATTTCGAAACCCAGTACAAATCACACCGGAATTCCTTTATACAAATTCGTACAACATAATAAAAATGAAACGAGAATAAAAACTAACCACGCCTTAAAGTTTAACTATCAGGAAATTTTCTAAATCGTTAAAATAATGATTTCGAAGGTGCAGCATTCCATACAATATTCAAATCTGATACACACTACTAACTGTAATTTTTTTTACAAAACCAACTTTTCAGACACAATGGTATCCTATCAAGCTATTAGAAAGCCTGCTCTGAAACCACACTTGTAGCTCGAATACATAGGTGATAGCTCACAATTTGGCTCAAAATCAGATATTCAGAATCTTGTTGAACTTGCCACCAAAGTAAGAGATCAAGTTGGTCTTCTAGTGAAATTGCTAAATACTTTTCTAGCTTCCCTTAATATTGCATGTGTGTGGTGTGCTGTGATTAATCGAGATTAAAAAGAATCAGTCAATTTAATATCAAATCTTTCACCTTATTTTTTTGTGAAATTCCTAAATGCAAATAAATTTACTCTTGGATTTAGCAATAAAAAAATTGCAATTTGTTATTTATATAAATGTAAAAGTAGAATTGTGTCACAAGACAACAGTCAATTCTGTAGAATTAATGAACAGATTAATAATTGTATTCAAAAAACCTATCAAATTTATGCTATAATGTTCTATTTTTATTATAAAATTTCAATTTCAATTGTTTTATTTTAAAAAACTTATAAACAAAAGTAAAATTTTGAGTTATTTGGAAGGATTTATGATACATGGAAAATTATATATTGCATAAATGTTACCGCTGAAAAATCACTACACTCTAATGCAATAAATTGCGCAAAATCCTGCATAATAAAAAATATTTCTGATAAAAAAATTTCATTGAACAAAAATTTACTTAAAAACTATATCTAAGATTTTGATATGTGAAAATACACGTTTTGAATAAAAATTTAAGTTGTTTTGAAGTTTTTGCAAAACAAACATCATTTTTATTAATTAATTTTTAAACAAATTCTTTGAAAAATTTTCAACATTAAAATGTCAGAATTAAGTAAAAGCCATCATGGTAAAATAATTGGTATTTAAAAAATAATGCTCCAAATTCAAGAATATCAAAAATTCTCGATTTTCATAGAACCACAGTATCTCGTACCATTAGAAAGTATCTTGATGGAAAAAATCTTGCCTCAGAATCTCGAAGTGGTCGTTCTAAATTAATAAACAAAGAAAGTTAACAAATACTAAAAAAAAAACATAAAAAAACAATCAAAAATCTTCAGAACAAATCAAAAATAAACTCAATGAAAAAACTAATAAATAATTAAGAATGTCAGAAGAACTCTGCATGAATTGAATCTCTTTTCTCATGTTCCTGCTACAGGGATAAAATATTTGGAAATAAATATTTCAATTTTGGAGATAATCTTTGGAAAAAATTTTGGACGAATTTTTTATTTTTTTATTCATTATATTTCTAAATACTGTATTATAAAGAGTAGAAATTTGCATTGTAATCATGAGAACCTAAGCTACAAAATAATGTAATTTTTTTGCGTTTTTATTATGTGGTGTTTTGCGCAATACTTTTGATCATGTACGTAGTGTATAAATTATCACTTATCGTTATCGTTATCATTATCGTCATTTCAAGTTTTAATAAAACACACACATAAAATGAACTCAAAGATGGAACTTATGATTTAGTAAACGTGCTCCTTTATATCAAATTACTACTACAGAACATATTCAAATTACAATAATATTAATGATTGTAGTGGATTGCTTGAAATGTTTTGAATATCACTTTCAACTTTATAAGGCTGAATGGTCTAGCAGAAATAAAGATATGACAATTGAATGAAAGAATGCGCGAAAATTAATCTATTTTTTGAATGATCCCTTTTGAATGATTTATCGATGTTTGGAATAATTTATATAGGAACCCGGCCGGTTGTCCGGACGATTGGCTGGCAAGGGAATCATAAAGACAATAAATTAAAACGAGTTCCTATCTTTATTTCTTTGTCTGAAACAGATTCGACCAAAATTCGGTTCTTTAAATATATGACGTACCTATGTTTGACGAAAAAAGTATCAGATCATGTGGTATTTGTGTACGTCCGGAAAAATTCTACGGTAAGAGAGATTATTGTTAAAGGTTAATTTAAAGATTAGAATTAGGGTTAGGGCTAGCGTTTGAGTCAATATTATATGTAAAATTGCCTCCCCGACATTTTTGATTAATGTATGGTGCGAACAGCTTAAAGACATCCACTATTTTGACTATTTTTTTAAAATGTAAAGGATTTTTTATATGAACTTTAAAATAAAATACGTTACCTATAATACGTATTTTTTTCTACATTTAAAGCTTTATATATATTTTATTGAGAAGATACAATTTTAAATAATGTATTTTTAAAAATTTCAGCATTAATATAAAAAAATTGTAATAAATCTGACCAATCATATTCAATTTATAAGTAATGATCTGCAAAATCTTCAGCGCGCGCCTTTGATGTGACTAAGTTTTTTGCACCATACCTGATAAAAAATTTACGCATTTTTATTGGTTTGTGACACCAGCAGATCGAAAATTCCGTTCACGTATAATTCTGATTGGTTGGTCATGTCATTATTTATTAACGTTTTTACGATCTACATGTATGATTATTAATTTTTTTATTTTTCCCTTTTCTTTAAAGTTCCTTCTCTGGCTTTTTGCTTTTTTTTTAAAGTAACTGGAATGTTGTTTTGCTGTTCCATTATTCTTTAAACTTTTTCTCGCTTGTAAGACTTCTGGGCAATCACCTTCTTTTTTAAAGTAAAACTGTAGTGGTTGTTTTGCTGCTGATTTTGTCTCTTCATTCTTTCCTTTAACTTTTCTCGCTTTTAAGACTTCCGGGTAGTACTTCTAAAAAAATAAAAAGTAATCTCCTCCGTGGTAGTGCGTCCACCTTTGTGGTAGTGCATACAGCCACTTTCGTGGTAACGCACCTTTATACCCGGGGCAGTGCATCTAAAAATCATAAAGAGTAATTATCTTCGTGGTAGAGTATCTATCCATTTTTGTGGTAATGCATCCGTCCAATTTCGTGGTAACGCATCCATCCACCTTCGTGGTAATGCACCTTTATCCGGGAGACGGGGAATCACAAATAACCTAAAAAATCCGGACGCAGTCATCGAAGAGCTTGAATATGGAATGAAATTATTCCAGTCGTCGAATTTAAGAATTATGTAGATGATAATAATGCTGATATGAAATATATATTCCACTCCTATTAAACAAAGGCAGTGTTAATACCTGTATGGGATTTGCCGCATTATCATGCGTTTTTAGCGTGGATCTCAATTTTTTCTCCTGCATTCTAATAAATATAATTAGAATTAAAGAATAACGATATGTATTTATTATAAATAAATAAGTGTGGTTTACATCATTAAGTGAGGGAGTTGTAAAAAAAGTTATTTGAATCTGAAGTATTGAAAAATGAATTATTTAGATTTTGATCAAGAGAAAGAGGCGTGTTATCATCAATAATAAAAGCTGCATTAATCTCTTGATTCGGTAGAGAAATAGAAGATAATGGAGTTATAAAGTATGTATTTAGATTTTGATTAAGCGAAAGAGGTGTGTCTTCATTAATAGGTGACAAAATATTAAACTCTTGATTTGGTGGAGAAGCTAAAGCTAATGGAAGTATAAAAGGTGTATTTATATTTTCATCAAGCGAAGGACGTGTGTTCTCATTAATAGTAAAAGCTGGATAAGGTGGATCAAGCGACGAAAAATCAATACTTTGATTTGATTGATTATATAACGAAATAATAGTATAAATTACTTTTTCCAAGTTCTTCATTTTAACATGCAGTGAAATAATTTCTATATTTAATTCCTGATTTTTTTCGCCAAGTAATTCATTCTTTTTTTGTAAATCAAGAAACTCTTGTTTCTTTTTGTCTCGATAACGTTTAGCTAAATTTTATAAATATTAAAACATTTTTTTTTAATTAATATATTGCAAAATTATAAATAAAATAATAAATTATAATTACAATATTCATTGCTATTAATCTTTTGTCGCTTATTCCCTGAGACCTCTTGAGAGCGCCCGTGGTTGTTCACTCGTTTATTTGAGTACATAGTAATAAATTGGAAGCGTACTCAGTAAGCTTCGTGTGGCGAGATTTTAAAGTGGTAGTGTACTCAGTAAGCTTCGTATGTCGAATTTCTTCAATCACCATTGTATGTTGATGGGTTAAAATTAATATAATGAAATAATTATAATTATTTGTGCTATGTGTTTAAAAATTTTAGTAGAATCAACAAGTAGATGACTATGTATGCTATATCTTTTACAGGAGAAAACGCGAGGATTCTTTTCTTAATCTCGCTACATAACGATAAGAAAAATCGGCAATTATATATCTGCCTTACATTGCAAATCATTAATTATTTTGTGACAAAACGTTTACCAAATACACGTATGTGATTGTAATTATTCACATGCATTATGGGCAATCTGAAAATATTCTTCGTCAGATACGTAGTTAGAGACTGAATTATCATACAGCTCTCCGTAATTCTCGACTTCTATGAAATAACTTAATACAGTTAATTGTTTTATATTTGTTCTTGCGAACTCAAGAAATCCATAAACATAGAATTGGCGATGACGAACTAATTTTCGGTCTAAACAAAGCAATTTTTCATTGTCAGCAAAATCTGTCGTTAGAAATCATGCACAAATAAAAATTATACAACGATACAAATTTTTTTATTAATCTTTTTCCTTTTAAAGGCTCTTTTTACATAATGCTTCTAGCTGTATAGGAAATCAGGTACGTAGATCTCTTCGGAAAAGATATTCTTTAACACTGATCGAATCGATTAATAAGTTAAAGAATGGGGGTTTAGCGAAACTTAATATTGTTTTTGATGACTTTTTGGGATCATGTTCTAAGATATTAATGCGAGAGCTATTATAAATTATTTTGGTTTCACCTGACTTATCGTTATATACATGTACATGTACATGAACATGTACTAATAGCTCGGGTCCTAGCTGTATCACCTAATTATAACAAACATATCGATATTTTTGATTATTTGACGTTGATGAAATTCTGGCTTTTCATGCACTCGAATATAAAATCGGTAATATCTTCATTCATAACAATCATTACTTCATTGGTTATTTACGTATCTTTAACAAAAGTTCCATGTTACGCAAAGGCCTAGACTACATGTATATAACGATGAATGAATTTTTGCTAATTAGCGTTAGACTTAAATTCACATAAAACAATCGGTAAACTTAATCAGGTATAAATTCGTGTTCTGAAGTAATATCAGAAAGTCAAAAGTTGGCTTACCAATGTACTGCTCGTTTTAGCATAATAAAAAGAAAAGTTACTATCATCACATCTCTTTCTAACAAATATTCATTGTTTAGCTTTTGAAATTCGTTTATTACCGTACAGTGCTGCATAAAATACTCACCCACCCTTTAATCAAGTCAGATTTCTTTAATAAAACCAATTATGTTTCTGCAATCAAGATTCACAGTACAATTTTTTGTGCTAAATTGGCTAAGGTTTAAATTTTCTCCAAGAGGCACGCTGTATGCTACAAAATAAATCTGTAGATATGTACTATGCAACTAACCCCGGTGGTCAGGAAATCAAAAAATTCTGTTTATTGAGGCAGGTTTACCATAACAGTTCCTGATTTATTGAAGCGGGTTTACCATAACTGTTCCTAAGAACCAAATTCGGTTTATCGGGGTTTAATTTAACGAAGTTATTATATGAACAAAACAGAGCTTCACGTGTAGCTGCAACTCGGTATTGGTTTTATATTTTTGGTGCATAAAATGGAATTAGTTTAATTTGATAACAAAGAATAATAGTTTTGATATCATCTCTCTGTTGATTCTGCTGATCAAGGTAATAAACAGTTTCGGCATCTTGGTTTGGTATTCTTTAAGCACCGGATCACATTAAAAAAAAACACAAATAAAAATCAAAATACTTTCTTCGTTTATATTTTACTTTCCTATTCTTTGATTGCTATTTATACTTAGTTTATTAATTAATCTCATTACAGAACATAATCAAAGAATATTCATATAAGCTTTTCACAATCATTTATAACTGATGAATAATCAGCAAAAGAAATAACTCAAGCAAAAATTTTTTCAAGATGAAGATTCTTATGAACAACTAAAAAAGTTAAAGAATAAGCGTATCATATTAGCAAACTATAAGACCAAAAGATAAAAGATCTATTATCCAGTCACTAGTTACATGTTTTTAATTGAATGCTACATATGACAATTACGATGCAATGCTGAAAATTACATACAGCATGTTGTGCGATTATATGAACAATATAAAAGCATATTATTAATTGTAAATGGCTTGTTTAACCAATAATATTATATATTTTAACATAAATTTTTTAGATTTAATCTGATAAAGTTATTTTAATTGCATATAAAGTCAATTATTTTTTATATATTTTTATTATAAAAAAATAATTTATTTTATATGAAATTAGAACAACTTTATCAAATTAAATCTAAAAAAATACGTTAATATATGTGATATTCTCTTTATTTTGATATAAAAATAAAAAATTTTTATAAAAAGAAAAATATATATTTTTGGTATTTTTACTATGTTTTATTAATAAATTTGTTTTAGCATTTAATTTTTTTTAGCATTTAATTTTTTTTAATTGTTATTACATATATTAATAATTATTAAAGAATTAAAATTAATATTAGAATTAAAGTAAGAATTAAATATAAAATTATATTATTAATATTTTTAAGTAAAGCTTAAGTTATTTTTAAATTAAATATAAATTTAATATTTGTATTATTAGTTAACAAAAATATATAATTTTACTAATTTATATTAAAGATACAAATAAATATATAAAAATAATTAATATTTATTTTTTAGAACTTTAATATAAGAATTATAGAATAATAAAATAATAAATAATATCTTTAAATAATTTTTTGTAATAAAAATTTATATATATAACAAGCAAAATATTAAATAAATTCAAAATATTAAAATATATAATTAAATTAAAAATTATATACTTAATACTTAATTAAAGTTTGTTATTTCAAAATTTAACAAAATAATAAAATATTTAATTATTAATTAAAATAAATTTTTCAAAATTAAAAGATTTCAATTAAGTAAATTACAAATATTTATTTTTTAATAAATATTTTTTTATATAATAACAATCAGAAATAATACAATAATATCAAAATTTATTAATCAAATATAATTAAATATGAATTTTTCTCTTTATATAAAAAGAAAAACTCATATTTTATTATAATTAATTAATAAATTTTGATACTATTGTATTATTTTTGATTATTACTATATATTAGTTAATATTAAAATAAATATTATATTAATATAAAATAAATATTATTATAATATAAATTAATACAAAATTCAAATAAAAATTATTAATTTGAATAATATTAATTTTTTATTTACTTATTATTAAAAAAGTAAATTTAAATAATATTAATTTTTTTTATAAAAATTTATTTATTTATTGCTAAAAAAATAAACTTTTATATTGTATTTTCATATTTTTTACATTTATAAAAATTATTAATAATAATTTGAACTAAAATTTAATTAATTTCAAATATTATACAAATATTTTTTAACTTTGTATAATTTTTATAACAAATAATAAACTTGTATTATATTTGTAATTTATATTTTATTGCTTTAATATATAATTTTTATATTTTTTTAAATAATTTATATTATTTTATAATTTTTCAAAATATTATACTATAATATTTTTTAAAATATTAATATTATAAAACTAAATCATAATCTTTTTAGTATTTAATTTTAAATTTGATATTAAATTCAAGTTTTCTAAATAATTAGTATTTAAGTTTTTTAAATAATAAGATTTTAATTTTCTTTATTAATTATTATAAATTATTACTAAAATAATATAAAATTTTTAATTTTAAATTATTTTAAAATTTTAAATAATATATTTTCAAACCTTAAAAAATATTTTAATATTCTATTTTTATAATTTTAAAAAAAGAGATTAAAATATAATTATATTTAGTGAATAATTATTTTCAATAATTTAAATTTAATATAAAATTATTAGTAATATAAAATATTTGCTATTATTAAGTAATAAATTATCAAAAAAATTTATCAAAAAAATATAACTTAATAAAATCGTGTTTTTCTAAATTAAAAAAATATTAAGAATTCAAAATATTATATAATACATATCGTAACAATTAAAAATAATATAATAATATTAAATTTATTAATTAAATATTGGTAAATATAGATTTTTCTCTTTATATAAATGTTTTAATTTTACTAATCAATATTTTTTTATATTAAAATAAAGATAATATTACATATTTTAACATATATTTTTTTCTGATTTTTAGATTTAATTTGATCAAGTTATTTTAATTGTATATAAAATTAATTATTTTTTTTATATGTTTAATTATAAAAAAATTAATAACTTAATATGCAATTAGAATAACTTAATCAAATTAAATCTAAAAAATATATGTTAAATATATAATATTATTTTTATTTAATATAAAATTGAAAATTTTTATATAAAGAGAAAAACCTGTATTTTGCTATGTTTAATTAATAAATTTTGATGTTGTTGAATTATTTTTGATTGTCACTATATATATAATATATAATATACAAATTTATTATAATAACTTAAGTAATAATAAATATATTATTATTTAAAATTGATAGAATAATTAATATAATAATTTATAGATCAAGTCAAAGAATTCAAAGTTTTAATGTTAAACAACTTTTCCAAAAAAATATTTTTGCCATTAATTTCAAGTAAAAAAAAAAACTTATAATAATAAGACTTTATTAATACTTTCAAGGTGACAAAATAGTTATTGTTGTATAATGAAATAAATAAAGTTTTAAAATCATTTACTATTTACTATTAGAAAAATAAATTAATTAACTTATCTCTAATTTAAAAAGTGTCCATAATATTATGAACACTATAATGCAATCATTTTGTAAATACTGTGATAATGTGATATAACAATAAAAAACTTGACTAAAAAAAATGGTAGCTTATTTTTGTAACATGAAATTGCACTGAGTTTAGGCTGATAAATGGAGAGTAGCTTATTTTCAAAGATATACGGTATGGTGCATAACATCTAAAGTCATCAAACATTTGTATTTTATAAAGTGTATAAACTTCTTTACTAAGAGGTAAATACAAATTTTAATCCGTGAATATGCTCAGAAAGGATCTATTATATCATATTCACGGATTAAAATTTGTATTTACTTCTTAGTAAAAAAGTTTATACATTCTATAAATACAAACGTTTGATGACTTTAGATGTTATGCACCATATCCTTCGTGATAATTTCATTATATATTCGATTACTAATCGTTGATTCCTTTTATTTTTCACAACAATTTTCCATAGTGATACAGCACCATATTTGTTGATATATTTGAGTTACTCATTTTTTTGCTCTGTTAGCTTTTTGGTATAACTGTATCAAACTTTGTAATATCGAATCATCAAATCACTAGCTTCAAGAGATTCACCTTTAACGGATGATGTTATTGCAGCAAATCTCTTGTATTCTAGTCATGACGGATGATTGTTTAAATAATCAGGCTTGCATATTGGCGATGTCATGAGTTGAACTTCTCTTCATCTGTGATGGCTTGGCTTGCTGACTAATTTTGCGTAGTGGTAATGTTGTTTCTGCTATCTGCATTAATTATGTTATTTTTGCTCTGTATTGTATGCAGTAACCTTCTTGGAGCATTATATACCAATCTCATTACTTGTTGTCATCATTTTCTATAGTGTTCATGTAAAATAGACGAGATATATTTGTATTGCATTGCTTCATTATTGTCAGTCACTGTTCCTATAATGCCGTGCTTAATTTGCTTTTATGAGGCAATCAATCTTTTAAAATCTGAAATACGGAAGGATTATCCACAACTGCCACCAGTGATTTTCTTAATTCGTTGGATGGGGAGATCACCAAGAAGAAACAATAAGCGAGTGAGAATTAAGCAAACTTACCTCTGCCGTTTATACACCGTTATAGCCGTAATACTGTCATCTTGAATTTCTTCGCTTGAAAATTTAGAAACATCAATTTTTGTAACATTTCATTACAGTGAAACTTAATCCTCGTAGATAGTTTGACATTATCTCAACAAATTTGAGATTCACCGGAGATTGTATTTACTAGGAACAGAGGAAAATCGATTATGGAAAAGGTTACGCATGCTGAAACTAGCGGCAGAGTTGTCATGGGACAATGTATGTGCTTGGGACATAGAAAATGTACAATACTGCCATGACGTGTTCATATCGCTATTTAGAGCGTAAAACATGTTTAATGCTCACAAATTAAGAACCAAATAAACAACCTGAATTATTGAGAAAAGAATATATAAAAGTGCCGTCTCCAAATCTGATGGCTCAAATGATTCTGAACAATCTGAGTCCATGACGTATTATGATAGTCGCGCCGCGACGAGAATCCAAACTGCTAACATTAACTCCCGTGCTGTTGATCACTTGTAAAACTCTTTGCACAAAAAAGGTCCTACTAAACCCACCAACAGTGATGTTTTCATCGATTGTTCTCTGCAGTCCCCCGCAGTGATGTTTACCCCGATTGTTCGAATTAATTGGTGTTATCTCATAATGGGTTACCTTTGTATAGGATTATATTAAATTTATTTTAGTATTATTTGTATTATTTGTACATGTATTTTATACTTTTTTTCTACAAATAAAGCTAAAATTGCTAAGTTATTCTCGCTTTATGATGACATGTCTTTGCGAAGCAAATGGCCTGTCTTTATAGTGAATCCTACCGGAATAAATGTGAATTCGCATGATTTATCAGAATTGATAGTCCCTTACAATCATCAAAGACAGCTGAAATATGAGAGATCACCCTTCCCATTAATTTGTTGATTTGTTGGAAGATGGTATGCTTCGTTATGAATAGCGCGAATGGTATGCAATAAAAATCATGACAGAATACATGTGATATTGTTTTCTAAAACTATTTAATATTGACAGTCATATTTTTCGAATGCTTCGTCAACCATATGTCTCTTCCTGTTTTTGTGATCCATCATTAACATAGCTAATAAAAATATGTTAGGGCACGACCTGTTGCTTCATCATAACTTTCGAATTACGTAGTTGTGCTCAGATTTTAATAAACTGAATTACTAAATAACCGAATTTTCGAATTTTTCTAACCACTTCAGTTTAACGGGACCAATTGTGAATATTGAGTGAGAATTCTTTTGTAGACTGTAAGGAATTTGCTAAAGCAGTAAAAAACTTAAAGGGACTAATATATATTTTTTAGTTGTCAGTTCTTGTTCGTTTTTTATAGATTCCTGTTATCAATTAACTAGATATACATCAAACCTGAGTATAATGAAGTGTTCGGGCTGTTAGTAAAAAATTCTGTAAAATTCAGTTTATTGAGGTGAATTACTCTGATTGTTCTCAGAACCAACTTCAGTTTATCCAGCTTTAATTATTGCTTCGTTATATCCAGGTTTGGTCCGATTAAGAATAGATATAGTAAAAAAAGGGTTAATGAGTTCTCGTAAAAGTCGTATTGGCTCACAAATTATATAAAGATAGTTTTGATAAAATGAAAAAATATAAATGAAATTAATGACTTACACAGTCATTCTCCTTATCATTATAGTGGAGACTAATTAAAATCGATTAATATTTAGATTTACTAATTAATTCGATATAGCGATAGTGGATTTTTACTAATAGGTTTTTTGATACACTATAAGGAGAGTGACTATGTGTGCAATGCAAAATTGCCATGCTCAAGTAATTTAAACTTGAGCATGATTCATATTAACGAGATTTTTGAGTAGATATAATCTCTTTTAAGATGACAGGATATTCGCTGCAAAAAATTCTTAGATTATATCATAGCTTTTATTGATTGCTAAAAGAAAGTTGGTTATTGGTTATGTTATAACAACACTAAAAATTTTATGTTCTCAAGTAATTATCGAATTATTTTTGAATGTAAAAAATCTTCTCGAAATTTATGACAATTTTAATCAATTTACAAACAAAAGTAAAAGTAAATTCTTATCATTAATGCGCGTTCTTTGTATGAATCGACGTTATTTCAGCATCTTTATTCGAGAATATGAGCTCTGTTTTCGTTGGTGATAATTTTCTGCTCAATCACCTAACAATCGCAAAAATTCAGCGTCTTGCTTAAGATTTAAGTCTATCAATATCCGCCTTCGAGAATTCCAGAAGGTCATGGGATTTTATAACCCTAAAAAACAATGGTTAAGGTATATTCACGTGATAAGTTCATATAATAAAGTAACTTGAGGAACAGCAGAACAATATAATGAAGCATTTCACAGTACACCAAAAGCACTTTTTCGGCGGCTTTCTTGATAAAGTCTTGTGTCTTATCATCGCTGATTTGCTGAATCAAGGGAACTATTCTGTTGGATAATTGAGGTCATCGTTTGAATATAGACGGGCAAACTTTCTTTCCAGTGTTAGCAACTCGACGATCTTGTGTTGATGCGCCATATCGATACTTTCTCTTTGAATTCAACTTGATTTATGCGAGATTGTCTTTGCTCCCTGCGTTACGTCTCTTACTCTCGCTCTTTCTCACACTCTCGACGTTGCCCATAACTTCAGATATCTACTTGTCCAACCCATCGTTCACATTCTGCAATCAAACTACTAAGACTATGTCGCAAAGTGAATTATTGTTCAGTAATTTGTTGTTAAGAGAACAAGTTAAAATTCCTAAGAAGTAGGTTGTTTTTAAATGAGAAGAAAACAGAAACCCATACAATTTCTTGTCGAAATTAATAAATAACTATATTATACTCTCAATAAAGTTAACTAGTTTCTCATGGCATAAAAGTAATCTAACGTTAATGTTTCATCTATAATCAACAATAAAATTGTGTTTTAAATTCTATAAACTTCTTAACGTTAACTAGGAAATAAATGCAAAATTTAATCCACAAATACATGTATTATCGTTATCGTTATTGACATTGTTTTCCTAGTCGAGAAGTTTACATACAATTTATATGTTATATTGCAAAATTTCTTAGAGTTAGTGAGTGATCAAATAGCTTGAACATGGATTTATATTAACGAGTAAATCTATCTTCAAGATTATCGGGTCATTCGCTGCGAAACATCCTTAGAATTTGTGCTTATTTATAAAAATACAGAAAATTTTGTAAAAATTTCGACTTTTTAGAACTTGATTCTTATTGGGTTATAAAAAACTTAAATGTTATGCCAATTTCCACAAATAAATTCTCATGAATCGACGTTATTTCAGCGTCTTCGCTTTGTTTTCTACTTTCTGTTCATCGAGAATAGGAGCTTTGTTTTCGTCAGTAATTACTTCTCGGTCATCGGCGACGAAATACAATAATCCCAGAAGCTCTTGGTTATTGATATAACCCTAAAAAACAAACGGTTAAGGTAGAGTCGAGTGATCAGTTCATATAGTAAAGTATTTAAGGAACAGCAGCAAAACAATATAATGAAGCATCTCACAGTACATCAAAAGCTTTTGTGATTGCTTTTTCGGCAGCTTTCTTAATTGAGTCTGGTGTCTTGTCATTGCTGATTTGTTGAATCAAGGGAGAAGCTTTCTCAAACACGGTACTATTTTGTTGGATAATTGAGGTTGTAATTTGCATATAAGCGAGCAAAAACTCTTTGCCAGTTTCATAGTTTGTTGGCTTCATCTTCTTGTACCCTACACTTAGAATTCTGCAAACACTTTCGTTGACGCCCATAACACTTTCTTTGACACCCATAACTTTAAAAGAGAATTGTCCAAACCATCGTTCACCTTCTGTAATTAAGTTGGAGAAATAAACAGTGCTGGGAACTACTTACCAGAATAAACTATGTCACAGTGAATTATTGTTTGTCACTCGTTGTCGAACGAATTAAGATTTCCTAAGAAATAGGCTAATGAGAACGAGGAGGAAAACCATTCAGAAAAGCATGTTAACTTATTTAAATGATATGATGTCTAATAAAATGACTATACCAGTTAACAGCAATGGCTTTTATTTTCCCATGACGAAATGGCGAAAAATCGATCAATTACGCCGATCGAATATCACTGTGAGAGTTGTTCGTCATTTTCGTCTGATGGTGTGAAAAGACTATTGTTGTCTTTCGAATAAGACTTATTATTTTTATGATGTTTAGGTAGAAAAGAAAGAAAGAAGTTAGTTTTTTTAGTTTGATTTGGCAATCTCTAATTCTAAAAGAAAAAACATTTGTAATTAGGTGGTATTCGCGCTTATAAAGCTAAAACAATGGAATTACTTGTTATATTTTATGCTTTGCTTTAATATAGCTAACAAAGCTTTTTTGAGTATTGCGATCGATAATTGCCAACTAGAAGTGTAAACAGATTAATGTTAGGGAGTTACAAGATAAAATGTATCAGTAATACCATAAACTTGTACATGTATTAGTATCCCTTTTGTTGGATCCTATATACGTAAGCAACCACAAACTATACAAAATTTGGTAATTGATAATTTCATACATGTATATACACAACAACCTCTTAATATATTAGTTAATTTAATGCTCCACTTCCATAAAAGAGTTGCTTATACTCAGAAGTTTACAGTACTCATATTTCATGCCTGAGAATAATTGCATCAACAGAACAGTCAATAAGTTTGATCTATTAAGCAATGACAACATTTAACCTATTGTAATAATCGGTAATATCTTATCGTTATTAAGTGTAGCAAACTGAAACTCATAATTTTATCAAGCTATCAATATATATAATATATAATTCAAATTTTCATTATTGAATGGCAAATTAACCTAAACAGCTCGATAAACCGAGGTGTAAAACTGTCTATAAGAAACTTTGCTCGACAAACCGATTACAATACTCGACATAAATAATAGAATTTGTTAATTTATTGTGCTTTTAACAAGAAACATGCATCAGAAGGTTTTAAGTTTTAAGAAATATATTCTTTAAGAAAAAATTTTATTAGATTGAATAAGTTTTTGCAAACTTAACAAATCTTGTTATTTCTTAAATGAAAATTGTTTTTGAAACATTTAAACCACCACTTGTTTTTTGGGATTATTTTTTAAGTAGAAATAAAAATTATATTAAAAGCATTAGGCTGCGTAAATTCTTCTATTTTATTTTCTGGTGTTGGTACATTTCAATAATCACACCAGGATTCGTGTATATAAACATCTGATTAAAAGTAAATACGTATGTTTTGATCATATATCAATATTCTATATTGAATCCATAATAAAAATTCGTAGTATGTCCCTCCTTGTTATAAATGAGACCAGCGTTTGTAACTTTTCTGTAAATTCAAAAGCTAATTCATACTTTTATAGATTCTCCTATAATAGTAAAAAGTAATATTCATAACTTTTCAGCATCATAGTTGACAGAGACCTTACTTTTCTCAATCGTCAAATCAATCTTTCACAGATAAATCCGATTTGCCACGAATTCATCTCAATAAAACTTCCAGTTTGCTATTAAGTATTATTTTCAATTTCGTGTGCATTATATGTAGATTTTTAAGTAAATATTGAATGAAATCTTTTGTAATGGAGAAATAAAATTAAATATATGAATCAACCGCAAATTAAATTATTAATTTTATCACAAACCTTTCAATATAAATGAATCGACCACAAACAAAAGTCAGATTTTATTTAATTCACGCATTTTCTTTTTATCAATTGATTAATAGTATAACGAATTAATCAAAACTTGATTATATGTGCATAACATCTAAAGTCATCAAACGTTTGTTTTTATCAAATGCATAAACTTCTTTACTAAAAAGCAAATATGAAATTTAATCCGTGATAAATTTTGCATTTACTTCTTAGTAAAGTGGCTTAGCATAATATTGTGGACACTTTTTTAAAAATAAATAGATTTAAAAATTGATATATGAATTCTTGAGATCTTGTGATTTATAATATAACTTTGAAATGAAATATAAACAAATTATTAATTATAAGGTAAAAGGGTGTATTGTGGCGAAGTAACGATACATCGATAACTAGCGATCTGAGTCGCATGAAAATATCACCATTCGATTTACCATGTCTAGGTGAATCAAATGGTGGTATTTTTATGTTATTTAGATCGTAGTGTGTTGAGATATCATCCTTGAAAATTACCGTACGCCAAAATTTAATATAATTTGTGATTTAATATACGAGGCAAGTTCTAACATACGGTGATTTTCAAGGAGATATCTCGACATATAGCTATCAGAATCACATGAAAATACCACCATTCACCATTCGATTCGTTAAGACATGACGAATCAGATGGTGGTATTTTCGTGTGATTACGAGCGTAAGCTATCAAAGTATTGCATATTTTCTTTACTCCGCCACCTCCCAAAATTAGCGTTTTGAATGTAGAACACAAAATGATCATTTTTTTATCACTTGTCATGTCATTGTAATTTTTGCTAGATTTATACAGAATTAAGTTGGCTTTTTAGCCATAATAAATATACTAATATCTGTACTATATGCAAAAAATTTTTCTATTCACAATTTTAACTTCGCCAAAATATTCTCTTTTACCTTAAGTCATAAATATTATATAAAAATTTTGTATATAATTTTGAGAAATTAGCCATTTAAATTAAAAATTATAATTATTATATTATTAATAGTAATTCTTACTATTAAAAAAAGCATTTCAGATAAATCAAAAAATTATAATTTACATTTCTCAAGAACTATTGCATGGATTTTTGTTTTTTGTTCTTTTTTTTGTTCTTTTAAATCACAAGGATCTCAAGAATTCAAAAATATCATATAAATTTTAAACATATAAGCTTTATTTAATTTTAAAAAGTGTCCACAACATTCTGCTGGGCCACACTATCACAAATATAATGAAAAAATTTTACTTTATGAATGAGGACTCTATTTCATGGGCCATTTTGTTATATAATATCTTAATAGAATAATACTTCGTTCAGTCACCATTAGCAAGAATAATATAAATTTAATTAGGTATATTCTAAATTAATTTTTTTTATAAAATAAAACAGTCATTTTTATGACCAAATTCAAACAAAATAACACCAATCGATTAATGATGGCATTTATGTTCAGAATTATTAACTTGATAACAAGATTTGTATATTCAATGGTGCATAAAATCTAAAGTCATCAAACGATTGTATTTTATAAAATATATAGACTTCTTTACTAAAGAAGTAATACAAAATTTAATCCGTGAATAAGATAGAATAGGCCTTTTCTAAACATATTCACTTATTAAATTTTGTATTTACTTCTTAATAAAGAAGTTTATACAATTTATAAAATACAATCGTCTGATGACTTTAGATTTTATGCACCATATAAAGATGATTTTAAAAAAGTGATTCAGTTGCTTTTGACACATTACTTTAACGCATTGTGATACTTTTCAAGCAAAATACAACCATTCAATCCAAAATAATACTTGAGATAATATTGAATATTTTTCTTTTAGGTAAAAATAAGAATTCAGCTTTGCCCAATTGCACAATCCTTAATTAAAAAAAGATTTCTAGTTAAATTAATGTGAAGCGAAGCTAAAACATTAATTTCCTCGATGCTTTATGATTGTAGTGCTCTTCTAGCATAAATAATTGTTTTGCTAAGAACATCGCGTGATGGCATGTTAGGACAAATGTTTTCAGAAACACTAATTAAATTAGCTTGAATAATTTTTCTAGTTTCATGGATCTGTTTTTTAATTTTGGCGACAGCTTTGCAATGTTGGTGTTGCTGGCTTGAGATGCATGATTACGGTTAGCAAAATTTTTAAGATAATGTAAACCATTATTTAAAATTGTTGTTGTTTGATCTTTGCATTCTTCCTTTCACAGAACCACCAATAATACACATTATCCCAATTCCATTCTTTTACCATCAATATTTAGCTTATTATTTCCTTTTTGAAATGGCACAAGTTCACAAATTTCGCCCATTTTTTCAAATATGTTTCACAATAAGGATCTTGGAATGAACGTAATAAAATATAAAGAGAAAGTATTTTTCTTATTTGAGTGATGGAATCACACGGTGCATTTGCAAATCACATCTCATATGAGCAATGTGATGTATCATACAATATGAGTAATATGATACATTATATGATTGCCTCTTTCTAATCTCAGGTTTTTAACTGTTGGAATCTTAAATTGTCAGGATTCTTGATCATCAGAATCTTGACCGTCGGGATTCTTGACCATCAGGATCTTGACTGTCAGGATTCTTGACCGTCATGATTTTGGTGTTGTCAGGGTTGGGACCTGTTATGATTTGGGGTTGTCGGAATTAAGATGCAGGAATTATAGACCATCTGGATTATTGTGTTGGGATCTCAATCGAAACAACATTAATAAATAATTACTTTTTGATCTGTTGGTGGATAAAAATGCGTAAATTATTTTATCAAACCCTACACAAGAAAGTGTAAAAAAATATGAGAACAGATGTCTAAATCTAACTTGGTACACTAATCAAAAATGTCGGGAAGGTAATTTTACATATAATATTGACTCAAGCTCTAATCCTAATCCTAACCTTTAGATTAATTTCACGCATTCTTTCATTAGACTGTCGATATATTTATTTCTGCTAGACCATTCAGCATTATAAAGTTGAAAGCGACATTTAAAACACTTCATTTTATTTACTATAAGCATAAATATTATTGTGATTTGAAATAAACGAGCACGTTTACTAACTCATAAGGTTTCATCTTTTGAGTTCA